CGTTGTCAGACTGGCGACTGAGTTCATCCATAATGGCAACCAGGACTGTCTCCGTCCCATGACCCAGGCGAAAACCTGACTGGAAAAGGTCCAGGCCAGCTGTGTCATCCAGGAATTGCTGCAATTGTCCCAGTACAGCCCGCTCTATCACCTTCCCTAAGAATGGCAGATTAGAAACAGGATGGTAATTTGCAAGGGTCATAGGATCCAAGCTAGGTTTCTTTAACAAGGGACAAACCCTTGCCTCTTTTAGGTTGTCTGGAAAAAAACCCTGTTCAAGAGAGCCATTGATTATACTGCACAACGGATCGAGTAGACCTTCCAAGCAGCTCTTGATCAGCCAAGAGGGGCACGGATCAAGAGAACAGGTGGTTGGTTTTGCAGTAGCCAGAATTCTGGCGACATCCTCCGTGTGAAGCAGTGTAAATTGATTGAAGATAGGCCCACTAAGCGGCCACAAGGTCTCCAGCTCACTCAAAGTGTCGACTGTGGGAGGGAGTTCCTGCCGAAGCATGGTAATTTTGTTAGTGAAAAATTCCTGGAATTTCCTAGCTGTTTGGGAATTAGAGCAGGGATATAAGTGCCAAGTATAGAATCTGGCTTCAGACGAAGCAACGTTGGATTCATGTTAAGATCTTCGTGCCAAGTTCTTGGACTCTTGTTTTTGTTTGATTTATGGATTTAAGTGCCTTTGCTTTTGAAATCAAGTATCTACCTTCATTGACTTCTTTTGGACTAGTTCTCTTTGGACTGTTGGTTCCTGTTTCTTCCTAACCAATTAGATTATCTTTTTATTGCTTTGGCTTTTATTATCCGCAATAGACTGCTTGTTATTTTAACCCATCTGTGTGGTGTTTAAAATCAGTGAGGATCCTATTCTGGAGTACAACATGCATCTCCTTTGCCCTCACTCTCTTATGTTGCTTGTTCTAGTCCAGTACTTCTTCCCATTGATTCTAACAAGCCTCGCAAGATTTGAACACTAAATATTGTATAAGCTTGTCCCCATGAAGTCTAATAAATTCTATTCATGTGTTATGGGCAAGGCTCAGCAAATAGGAATTGCAGCAGACTTTGATGGGTTAGGTAGGAAGCTGCCTCTTGCCAGAGTCCGAATTTGTTGTAAGAGGCATGTTGTCAGGACACAGTGATGTGGAGATATTGGAAATATAGATATTTATACATATACTAGCGGTCCCCTGCCACACGTTGCTGTGGCCCAGTCTGGTGATCTGGAAAATAAAGTAATGAGAAAATGTTGGTTTCTAATACATGTAATGTCTTTATGCTTGTGGGTTAAAAGTATTTCTTGTTGTTTCTTTGTCAGTGTTGATGTGGAGATTGTCTGGTTTGCACACACTGGAACATGCAATATATAATTGTCCTTCTTTAGGGGCCCCTTTCAAATCTTTGATACTGCATCTGTCATATACAGGTGTGTGTGTGAATGGCTGGATGGCCCTTTGTTAGGAGGGCTTTGATTATGTTTTCTTGCCCTGGTGAAGGGAGTTGGACTGGATGGCCTTAAGGCAGCATTTCTCAACCTGGGAAGTCAAGACCCCGGAGTTGGGGGGGGGGTCACCAGGGTGGTGTCAGAAGGGTCACCAAAGACCACCAGAAAACACAGTATTTTCTGTTGGTCATGAGGGTTCTGTGTGGGAAGTTTGCCCCAGTTCTCTCGTTGGAGGGGTTCAGAATGCTCTAGTACGTGAACTATAAATCCCAGTAACTACAACTCCCAAATGTCAAGGTCTATTTCCCCCAAACTCCATCTGTGTTCATATTTGGGCCTATGGAATATTTGTGCCAAGTTTGATCCAGATCCCTCATTGTTTGAATCCACAGTGCTCTCTGGATGAAGGCGAATTACAACTCCCAAACTCAAAGTCAATGCTCACCAAACCCTTCCAGTGTTTTCTGTTGGTCATGGAAGTCCTGTGCTCCCAGTTTGGTTCAATTCCATCATTGGTGGAGTTTGGAATGTTTTTTGATTGTAAGTAAACTATAAATCCCAGCAACTACAACTCCCAAATGACAAAATCATAATGTTTTGAGTGATGGTCACTCCTTGTGTTGTGAGACATTTTGTTGCCAAATTTGGTGTGATTTCGTTCATTGGGTTTTTTGTTTTTTGTTTTTAAGGTACTCATTATGCACAGAGCCTTTTTTAATATATAGATTGTATATACATTAGAAGCACTGAAGTATAGAAAAATCAGGTTCTCTCTGTATTAGGAAGCCAAGCTGACAGGCCAGAAAGAATGCTGAAGGAGATCTGTGTTGAAAGAGGGTGGAGAAGGGGGGGCCTTTTATCTATACAGAGATTGGTACAGCATAGCACAGGCCATACCTTCTTACTTCTAAAAGTAAGAAGTCTCTCTCCCTCCCTCCTGACAGGTCAAAAGTAGGTCCCCGATGGATCTGTGTAAGCTGAATTCTAGGTAAGCTTCTTTAGAAAAAATATGAAGACATGTCCCTTGCATGTAGAAGATATAATTTGATATTTCTATGATTGTGCTGGTACAGCTGTACCAGAAGCTCCCACTTTATTTGCCTTGTATTAAATGTTTGCTTGCAGTCCAAGGCTTGGGATTCTGCAGAAGGGTGGCTTCCTGTTAAAGTTTGCAGTTATAGGGCAGGCCACCTGTCCATCATCATTAGGTTCCTTAGTTCCACCCCCTTTTTGGGTTTTGGAGGGAAGGGAGCCATTTTCAGTCAGTCACACACAAGAAAGCTAGTCTATAGGACGCAGACAGCTCATTCTGTAGGAAAAGCTTCATTCCTCAAGATCATCTGGGGACCATCCGGGGACCATCCGGTGATCATCTGGGGATCATTCATGGAAATAGAAACAGAAGGAAAAGATCCCAAAGGCTCTGGCTGAGAGCTCACAGCCTCTCAGCCTCACGGCACCAGAGGGGGAAACAGCCCTGAAGTTCCCACAGGACAGCATTACAGAACTACGGAATTCCAGCTGAAAGATCTTCAAGGTTTGGCTGGTAGGTTTACTTGATGTCCAGACGCATTTGGGATCGGTAGTAAGACCCAGACCAGTGAGGCCCAGATGATAGACAGCATGGGAGATATTATAAAGGATTCTTCCTCATGCTGAGAGGGTACAGTTAATCCAAGTCAGTGCCAGTCTCTTAAAGACTAGAATAAGAAAGCCTTGAAGTGTTTGAAGATTTATCTGTTCCTTAATACTTTGTTGTACCATTAAAGACTCTAAAGACCATCACTTCAGGAAATCCCTAATAATCTCTCTTTGAGGCACCCCGACTTCCCACTGGGTTTAAAGTATACATCCTATAGAATAAAGACAATTTGTTCAGACCCAGTGCGCGACAGAACAATGATGCTAAAGTGACATAGTGATGATATTAACATATCTAGGAGCATTTTTCTTTGTTTTCCTGCATTTGAAGATGTATAAAAGGGAAAATCAACGCCTTTATCCTTACTCTGGTTTGCTTTTGGATGAGATTCCACACCAGAGTCTTAGCTGAAAATAAAAACGTACTTTTCTGTCTCCCTGAAAGGATTGCTCTTGGTATTATCTCTCCTATCAGCCACAACAACAGCACAAGGATTTCTGGTGATCTTGGAAGAAATCAAAACTTGAATTAAAGTACAAACTGAACATTTCCTTCAAAATGCCCTCCCTCCTGCTGACAAAGAAATGGTCTCATTGCTACGTTCAGGAGAGCAATCAGTACTTTACTGTCTCATTTGCTTCTCCTGAATGGAAGCCCTGCCAAACTGGCTCAGACACATACACCTTCCACTCTAGGATACTGAGCAATCCTGTTTGTCTTTGAAAGAGAGCAAACATAAATACTTGATCAACTTTGTTCCAATTGTGTGACTCCGTTGTTTTAATCTCCCCAGACCATCCAAGCATCATTGTGAATGTCCAGAATATGACAGGCGAAGGTCATTATCATACCTGCCTTTTTTTTTTGTACGAAGCATAAGGTTACACTGTTCAACGGAGAAAAAGTTGTGGGCCTGAAATTAGTTGTTCTTTTATGATTTTGGGGTGCTGAAAACGAAAATGACATTTAAAAATGTATATTGGCTCTAGTTTTTATGATATAAGCAATCATGTGATCACGTATGGTTGAAAAAATGCATGTTGCGACTTACACTATGGAAGATTCTAGAAAGTTGCGGGCCTGAAAATAGTTGTTCTTTTATGATTTTGGGGTGCTGAAAACAAAAATGACATGTAAAAATGTATATTGGCTCTAGTTTTTATGATATGAGCAATCACATGATCACGTATGGTTGAAAAAATGCACGTTGCGACTTACACTATGGAAGATTCTAGAATATTCTAGAAAGTTTGATGACGTAGTATTAGTGCCGTGTGCAAAAGCCAGAAAGCCCTATATAAGGCCAGACTTTTGAACGGTGAGGGTCAGTCAGTTGAAGACTGAGACAGTATCGTTAAACATCGTTTTACATTGTTCTTTTTACTGTAGTTATGCCTTGCATGTGTGTAAATAAAGCACTATGGAAAAAAGATATCAAGGCAAATGGACTCCGTCAATGCTGTCAGACTACTGCTGGAGCATTGGAAGAGACAATCCTTTTCTTGAATACAAAAGAAAAGTCAAGAGAAGCAAACAGGATATAAACTAAAGTCATGATTAAAGCGACATTTAAACTTTCAGACTTTTCAACTACATTAGGCCTACTAATATAGTTTCTTGCTGCACAAACATAAACAATAGACTAATTAAATAAATATTTCTCATTATTAGCAATATAATTTGACTAAAATTTTGTAAATATTCACGGTTTATATACATGCAGTAAGATTAGGCGCATTATCATAATATTAACGAATTACCTATACATTTCGTTTCCGCAACTGAGAAAAACTGAAAATTTGTACAACAGTGTTATCACTTTAAGCACTGTGTGAGAAAAAATGCAGTCTCATACAAGCGTATACAGTCACCAAAATAATAATGAATTGTTTTTCTTTTTACCTGTTAAACGAGGCATATCTTTTTACATTCCTGAGAACTTTGAAAGTTGTTGGCATTGCCACCGCAGCCACCATAAATGAATTGCTCGCAGTTTTTGCTCTTCTGGTTATAGTAATAGCGGCTAAGTTTTTCTGAACACGGCCCTGAATTTTTAGGGACTGTACATATTGTAGGTATCCCTGAATGACGGGGAGAAAAACAAAGATAACTGGTCTAAGGTACACAAAGTTTTCACAAATACAATCTTGCAGCTCAATTCTACCTCTGCGCATGTCAACTGAGGCCCCATCTAAACTGCCATATAATCCAGGTTTTGAATCCAGATTAACTGCATTGAAGTAGATTATATGACAGTGTAAACTCATATAATCCAGTTAATAGGGATTCTAAAACTGGATTACATGGCAGTGTAGATCTAACCTGAGAAATCAAGGGGAGAATCCAATGAGATTATTCTAAGCCTTGGAAATAACCTTGAACTTTATCACTCATGTCCTTATGGCTCTCATCTCATTCGTACCCTTTCACACAGCCCTATATTCCAGAATATCAAGGCAGAAAATCCCACAATATCTGCTTTGAACTGGGGTATCAGAGTCCACTCTCAGAAAATGTTGACTTTTTGGCCTTGATATTCTGGAATATAAGGCTGTGTGGAAAGGCTCTTCTTCTTTTTAAAATGAAGTTTAAGATTTGGCCCTCCATCAGGCCCGTAGCCAGGATTTCGTTTCGGGGGGGGGGGGGGGCTGAATTTTTTTTCAGGGGGGGGTTCGGGGGGGTGAGTCTGAGTGAAAGAGGGTCTAGCCTAGCAAACCTTTTGTATCATTACCCCAATACCCCCATGCATATGGGATATATTGAGTATGGTGATCAGTTCATGATATGAATAAACATAACAGTTTAAATAATGCACCAATAAGGCCTTTTCGCGAACCACCATGAAAATTTCGGGGGGGGCTGAAGCCCCCCGAGCCCCCCCCCCCCCGGCTACATGCCTGGGGCCCATCCACACAGTCATATAAGACAGAATATCAAGGCAGATAATACCACAAAATCTGCTTTGAACTGGATTATCTGAGTCCACACTCAGATGTGAGATTTTCCGCCTTGATATTCTGGAATATAGGGCTGTGTGGAAGGTCTCCCATTCTCAGACCTGCATCTCTTCCATTTCTCATAGGGCCCATCCACACAGTCATATAAGACAGAATATCAAGGCAGAGAATACCACAAAATCTGCTTTGAATTGGGTTATCTGAGTCCACACTACCATATATTCCATTGAAAGCAGAAAATTGTATTCATCTGTGTGGAAGGGGCCTTACGCTCAAGCTAATTATTAATACACAATCCTATGGCTAATCAACTAAAGTAGATGCATTAAATCAAAGACAATTTGTAAGTTATATTGATTAAGTGGACATGCTTTACTTTTAATGTCATCTTGGTTAATAATGCACTATTAAGTATTAGAGCTAATGTAGAGTCTCGCTTTTCCAACCTTCGCTCATCCAACGTTCTGTATTATCCAAGGCAGTCTGCCTCCCACCCAGATCCACAGCTGTTTCAATATGTTGTGATGTTTTGGTGCTAAATTCGTAAATACAGTAATTACTAAATAATGAACTATGTATTGAACTGCTTTTTCTGTTGATTTGTTGTAAAACATTATGTTTTGCTGCTTAATTTGTAAAATCATAACGTAATTTGATATTTAATAGGTTTTTACTTAATCCCTCCTTATTATCCAACATTTTCATTTATCCAACGTTCTGCCGGCCCATTTATGTTGGAAAAGTGAGACTCTACTGTATTCATTTGTTATTACAAATATTTCACATTTCAGTTGAATTACTATTTTATATTTACTGGCGAGCTATGTTTCCCCTTCCCAAGGCGCTTGTGCTGGTCAGTGACCATAATAAAGTTTTGTACTATTTTATATTATTATTATTATTATTATTATTATTATTTCCAATACTTCTATCCTGCCCTTCTCAACCCCCCCCCCCCCCCCGGGGGGGGGGTGGACTCAGGGCAGCTTATAAACCGGCCACAATTCGAAGCCTCAATACAATACAAATATAAAAACAAATAGCCACAGTTTGTTTGTTTGCTTGTTTGTTGTGTCAGGAGTGACTTGAGAAACTGCAAGTCGCTTCTGGTGTGAGAGAATTGGTCGTCTGCAAGGACGTTGCCCAGGGGATGCCCGGATGTTTTGATGTTTTATCATCTCTGTGGGAGGCTTCTCTCCTGTATGAGGAGCTGGAACTGATAGGGGGAGTTCATCCGTGCTCTCCACGGATTTGAACCTGTGACCTGTCGGTCTTCAGTCCTGCCAGCACAGGGGTTTAATCCTGTACCGGCAGGACTGTTTAAAACAACAGTTTAAACAGTTTAATAGCAACAGTTTAAAGCAGTAAATAAAACATTAAGTTAAAAACATGTTAAAAACATTGTCATCAACCATATAGCCAATTTCAGTCTGGTTCAACATCCAAGGTGCTATCATGCTTGCTGTCCAAAGGCCTGGTTCCAGAGCCATGATTTAACCTTCTTCCTAAAAGAAAGAATGGAGGGAAGAAGCCGACCTGATCTCACTGGGGAGCGAATTCCACAGGCGTGGGGGCACCGCCGAGAAGGCCCTGTCCCTCGTCCCCGCCAAACACACTTGCGAGGCTGGCGGGAGCAAGAGTAGGGCCTTCCCGGACGATCTTAAGCTACAAGGCAGAACGTAGAGGGGGGTTACATTTGGACAGGTAAGCTGGGCCGGAACTGTTTAGGGCTTTATAGGCCAAGACCAGCACTCTGAATTGTGCTTGGAAATGGAATGGCTGTGACAGCGCGAGTAGCGCCACCTATATGTAGAACTGTAAGTTGCAGGATTTGAACTGTTGTATCATGCCTGATTTTGCCTTTTTACCCTGTAAATGTATAGTTGGATTGATTGGTTATTTATAGCTGTCAATCAATGTTGTTTGCACCAGTTGAATTGCTCCTCCTGCTCAATTGTTTGACCCCACCTCTTCCTAGAGAGCAGGACAGTGTTTCCTTTTCCATTTCACCATCAAACTTTCTATCAGATAGACGTGAGAAAGAGACTTGGCTCTAAAGCCCTTAATTAAGTTACCTCTCATCACCAATTCTAAGGTTTTTACCCTTGGGACTCATACTTCATGTCCAGATCGCCCTGGACAACATTGAGGAGACCCAAGCGCCTTCAAACTGGTCCTTTGGCATCAAAGGAAGACCCTGTACCTTCAACATAGGCCATTGGACTGGGGGTTGTGTTTGTTCCGACTTTCACAACCATTGGAAAGCTTCTCAGCTGCAAATCTCCTTGGACCCAAGACAACCAGAGACTGTAATGTATATTTCCCTTACTCCCTTTGAAACTTCCAGCTTATTGCCTTAAAGAGATAACTCTTTGTGAACAATAAAACCTATTTTGAGTTATCTACAGTGTTTTGGTCCTTGGGAGTTCCAGTTTCCTAAAGGAGGGCAAGAAGCAATCCCCTGGGGGAAAGATGTCACGTCTATGCCTCTTTCACTAAGAGTTATAGCCCCCAGGCGCGACGGCATAATGGCAGCCAGTGGAGCTGGCACAACAGGGAGGTGGTGTGCTCCTTGTATGTCGCTCCAGTTAGTACTAGTTGGACTAGTTGAAATTTCCAAACAGTCTTCAAAGGCATCCCCATGTAGAGCATGTCGCAGTAGTCTATTTGGGATGTAACCAGAGCATGGACCACAGTGGCCAGACCAGGCTTCCCAAGGTACGGGCGCAGCTGGTGCACAAGTTTTAACTGTGCAAAAGCTCCCCTGGCCACCGCCAAAACCTGGGGTTCCAGGCTCAGCGATGAATCCAAGATCACTCCCAAGCTGCAAAATCTATATATATAAAAATGGAAAGGGTGTTCAACAGGACAGCAAAATGCAAAAAAACCCTCACCAAATTTGCCATGCACATACCTCAACCCACAAGGTATGCACAACACTCATCAAAATTCCAAACAACATTTCAACAAACTCACAATTACAAAAACCAACTGAGCATGCGCAGTGCCCAGGGGAGGAAGTACACACGCAATGCACTCTGGGAACTGTAGTTCTAGAACGCGGCCTGCTCGCTGGGGGCCAGGATGCTGCGCGAACGGAGAAAGGAAGGAAGGAAAGAAAGGAAGGAAGGGAGGGAGGGAGGAGTTGAGAAGGTATATGAAAGAAGAAAGGTAGGAAAGAAAGAATACAGAGAGAGAAGGAGGATGGGAAAGAAGGGAGAAAGGAAGGAAGGAAGGAGGAAAGGAGGGAAAGATAGAAAAGAAGAAGAAAGGGAAGGTGTCAAAAGGAAGGAAGGAAGGGAAATTTGGGAAGGGGAAGAGAGGGGAAAAAGCGAAGGAAGAAGAGAAAGGGAGGGAAGAAAAGAAAGAAAGAAAAGGAAGTCTGGAAGTCAAGAGCGAAGGAAGGAACGAAAGAGATAGAGAGGGAAGAAAGGAGAGAAAGAGGAAGGAAAATAAAAAGGGAGGAGGAAGGAAAGAGGAAGAGAAGGAAGGAGGAGAGAAGGAAAGAAAAAAGGGAAGGGAGGAAAGACGGAGCAAAGGAAGAAGAGAAAGAAGGAGAGAAAGAGGGAGGGAAGGAAAGAAATAAAGAGAAGGAAGGATGGGAGCAAAAAGCTAAGGAAGGAAGTAAACAGGTAGAGAAGGAAGAAAGGAAAGAAGAAAAGGAAATGAAGGAAGGAGAGAAAGAGGGAGAGAAGGTTGGCCACAGCAACGCGTAGCGGGTAAAGCTAGGTTTTTTTTATAAAAAAGTAAAAACAATTAGAAAGGGAGAGGCAAGGAGAGAGAAGTCTCTAATTTTCAAAAATGTTCAGTCACATTCCAAGAAACCCCATGGTATGTAGAATTAAGCGTTATTTTCCCTTACCTGTTATCATTTTACACCTCTGACTGCATTTCGCAGCAGTGAGAAATCGATTTGCATTACCCAAGCAGCCAGTATAAATGAACTTTGCACACGCATGTTTCTCCATGTTATAGTAGTAGCGAGTATGATTTGCCTGACATCTCCCCTGTTCAGGTGGCAGTTTGCATATTGAAGGCAAAATTACTCTGCCTGGAAAAGCAGGAGAGCAACAAGAGAAAGAAAACTGTTGGTAAAGGTGATTTCAGTTTCTGGCATCCACATCCTGTGATCTCAGGTGTATAGCTATGATAGGGATTCTGTCCTCTCCAAATGAAATGTTTCTCCATCCGTCAAGTCTCTAGAATTGCAAAGATTAAGGCATTGAAAACTCGTCACATTCAGAAGTCTTTCATTTGTTTTGTTTTTATGCATTCATTTGTTCATCTTACCTGTCCCTTTTCTTTGTATGTCAAGTGGGGAAATGTGGGGAGCTATTGGGAAAATGTCATGTAGGAGCCAATGTCCATATTTCCCTCCCAAAGCCTTGCCTCCTTTCCCCCTTCTGTGCAAATACATTCATATGAACACATTTTACATATTCTCTAGTACAGTGTCGTGACCCCCTCATGTTGTGGTGACCCCCAACCATAACATTATTTTCGTTGCTACTTTATAACTGTAATTTTGCTACCGTTCTGTATTATCATTCACTGAACCAAATTTGGTACAAATATCCAATATGCCCAGATTTGAATACTGGTGGTGTTGGTAGGGATTGATTTTGTCATTTCTGAGTTGTAGTTGCTGGGATTTATAGTTCACCAACAATCAAAGTGCATTCGGAACTCCACCAAGGATGGAACTGAACGAATCTTGGCACATAGAACTCCCACAATCAACAGAAAATACTGGAAGGTTTGGTGGGCATTGACATTGAGTTTTGGAGTTGTAGTTCACCTACATCCAGAGAGCACTGTGGACTCAAACAATGATGGTTCAAAACCCACACGATCTCTTTGATCATCTGGAAAGGCCCTGCTCGCGCTCACACCTGTATCGCAAGCACGATTGGTGAGGACGAGGGAGGAGGCCTTCTCGGTGGTGGCCCCTCGACTCTGGAACTCGCTCCCCAGGACATCAGACATGCCCCAATTCTGGCTGTCTTTAGGAGGAGCCTGAAAACATGGTTGTTCCAGTGTGCCTTCCCAGAATAAGGAAATACCCTCAGCAATATGTCTCTAAATGCACTTTATCACTGATTTAGGATTGTCTGCATGCCCCATCTCTACCTGAAAACTCTATCCCAGTTATATCCTACCTTGTCCATGTCGAGCATTATTTTTTAATTTTAAATTATTACATTGGGCCAGCCATAGGTTTTAAATGCTTGTTGTTATTGTTACTGTCGATTGTTTACTTTTGTTTATGAGATTTATTTTAACTGTTGTATTGATTGTTTTCTTATTGCTTTTACTGTTGATGTACTTTGGGCTCGGCCTCATGTAAGCCACACCGAATCCCTTGCAGAGATGGTAGCAGGGTATAAATAAAGTTTTATATTATTATTATTATTATTATTATTATTATTATTATTATTATTAACCTGAGATAGATTGAGCAGCTGGTAGAGGTACCATTATGGATTTCCCCACTCCAAAGTGGTGAATCCACCAGCCACCCTTGGCCCTGTGTGTTTCTCTCCAACATCAGCAATATCCAACACACACACACACACAATTGAAGATTTACTTTATAACCTAGCATGAATACTCAATATGCCCAAATATGAATATGCCCAAATATGGTGGAGTTTGGGGAAAATAGATCTTGACATTTGGGAGTTGTAGTTGCTGGGATTTATAGTTCACCTACAATCAAAGAGCATTCTGAACCCCAGCAATGATAGAATTGGGCCAAACTTCCCACACAGAACCCCCATGACCAACAGAAAATACTGTGTTTTCTGATGGTCTTTGGCGACCCCCCCCCCCCCCCCGGGGTCCTGACCCCCTGTTTGAGAAACTCTGCTCTAGTATATCACGATTCATGCGAGAAACTGCAACAGAATCACTGTATCTAGTTGATACAGTGTGATTAACTAGAAACTTTGGCTAGAAATATAAACATCAATTGATATCTATTTTGTTTTTCCCCACACAGAATCTCATCAGGATCTTGGTCCTATTGTGTAAGGCAATTTCCCACTTCCCCACTGTAAAATTTGTCCATATTCTTCATGTTTTTGTATCAAATTCAATAGTTGATGGTGCCAATTTTTGGTTTCCAATGGTCCTTTGCTGGGGGCAGTGTCTCAGTAGATGCACAACAACAACAACAACAACAACAGCTGCTGACAACATTAACCCTTCTTGGCCGTTGTCCACTTGAATGTTCATTATACACACATTACAATAAATCAGGCATTGAAGGTACTACAACAACATCAAAACTGGCAACCCAGCACTGGTTTTGTTGTCAACATTCAACAACAACTGGAGTCATTTTCTTTGGTGCTACATGTTGTTCATCACTCCAAAGGGTCTCAAGATTTGCTAGAGACATTGTTTTGCAAATTGATCTGTACAGGAGTTGATTATAAATTGTATGATTTTAACTGTATTTGTGTTTAGATTGGCTGCAGTAATGCTGGAGCGGCCTAAATCAGAGGAGTCCTCCATGTGCGTTGCCATGGAGACCGATGCTGGAGAGAGGGAAGTAGGAGGAGCTTAGAGGGGAGAGTTTGAAAAAAAACGACAGTTAAAAATCAGTTAGGGGTTTAGGTTTAGAGGAGTGAGCAGTCAGGAGTTAGGTTCAGAGGAGTGAGGAGTTAGGAGTTGGGAGAGAAGGAAAGGAAAGGTGGCGGAGTGACTTGTGAAGCAAAACTTTGAGGCTTTGAAAAGCTGGGTTTGCCTATTGGAAGTTTCTCAGGCTAATGCAGCCGAATGGTGAAACATAGCTGAAATTCTTTTAGTCTAAGGAGAGGCTAAAGAATAGTTTACTTAGTATTTGATCTAGGGAGGATCAACTAAGGGAAACATCCCTGTATGGAAACTTTGTCTGAAACAAGTGCTCTACATCAGAAAGATACTGTGTTACTTGAAAGAATGAACTGTTAAAGTTACAAGTATTATTCCAAGTGCAACAAGGAAAAGTTACGTCTTGCAACCACACGCTGTGTACTTAATAAAATTGTTAACTTTTATTTGAAGATTGCCTCAGCTCCGTCTATTCTGTGTACAAAGTGCCATTTCTCGCAATATTGCAACTTACCTCATGTGGTGGCAGAAACGTAGGGAAAAGTAACCAAATAAATCTACATTCTTCTCTCCAGTCATGCTACAGTATATACTGTGTAATTACTACTAAGTTATTACTTTCTTAATAAAGGAGGAGTTGCAATTGAACAGCCTCCCTTCTAACTTGATGGTAAATTTGGTTCCTAATCGGCAACCTCCATTGCAAATCGGCTAAGTCTTTTTAAAATTGGGAACTGGGGTAAAATCTCCTGAATACTGGTTCCTTTCAATACTGGTTCCTTGGTGGCAACAATAAATCATCCCTCAGCTCCCCTGCTTCTTTTCATGATGCAGAAACAGAGAATGCTAAGCTGTTCAGATAGTTTAACTGGTGGCCTTGATTTGCCCAAATGATTTGGAATACTCAACCAGTTTACTTTCAATTTACAAATGTATTCTGTTTGGCCAGATGAAGGAGATCTCTGATCAGCAGAAGTGCTGCTAGCATCTCCTTTGGGCTAGCAGGATGACTGGGTCTCACCTGGGGTTTTGTGAGTCAGATACTCTGAATGTCAAGAAGAAAGAAGAAAGAAGAGAAGGGAAGAGAAGGAAAGATAAGAATATAAGGACATCAGAATAGCCATGCTAGTTTCACCAGCTGTTTTCCTAGTGGCCAATTTGTTATTTATGAGAAGTGGCATGGAGGATATGAGTGCCAGTGCATCCCCTTTCCCAGTTCCCCGGGAATTGATGGAAAGTGGGACACAGCCTCTGAAACTGGAGAAGCGTACATTTGAAATCTATAGCCCCCTTAAAAGCAAAGTTGGGTTGCTGTAAGTTTTTCAGGCTGTATGGCAATGTTCCAGAATCATTCTCTCCTGACGTTTCACCTGCATCTATGGCGGGCATCCTCACAACCTCTGAGGATGCCTGCCATAGATGCAGGCAAAACGTCAGGAGAGAATGCTTCTGGAACATGGCCATACAGCCCAAAAAACTTACAGCAACCCATTGATTCCAGCCATGAAAGCCTTCGACAATACAAAAGCAAAGCTACTTCATTGATCAGAATTTGTCATAAGTTGTGCTTGTTTGGAGCAAGCATCATACATTTGAATAAGGAATATTCCTAATCTGTTACAAACACCTTTTGATTACAAATACCACCATTAACTTGATAATAGCATATAATATCAGTTTCTGAAATTCAAATCTTTCTGTGGCATTTATGAATCTAGACTTATGGGGGAGAACTCTCATCTGACTAATTTATGTTTGCTAGAAGTATCCAGTGCACAATGTATCAGGTTGTGAAACTTTTCCTTCTTCTGACACATACATTTATGCATTCTCCTTTTTTTTAAATCGAGGGGTGGTGGTTGTGACTGTCGTTTCCACAAGGGTTTGTTTTGGGCATCCTCAGGTGTCAGGCTGACAGCACACATGTTGTAGTTGATGGTGTCCATCCATCTTTTCTTTGGCCGCCAGCATAGTTGTCATCCTGCAATCTCCAAATGTTCTGCTGTTTGTGCTACTGATGTTGGTTCTCTTCTCATGTCATGGCCATACCACCGTAGTCTTGCTTCCTGCTTTTATTCCTAGTCTTTGAGGGATGCCATCATTTGGCTCATGATCAAGAAGTGTCAAGTCAAGTGTTCATTCCAGGATCATTTCCATTGTGTTAAGTGCTTGTTCATGTTTCTTTGTTGCTGGCCAGCACTCTGCCCCGTAGAGGTCTACCGGGCGGACAACCGTAGTGTGGATCTTAGCCTTGAGTTATTCAGGCATTTTTGAGTCGCACCAAATTCCAGTAGCTTGCCACCATTTCAACCAGGCTGCATTTATTTGTGACCGTACTTCTGGCATTGTGTCACCATCTATGGAGACCGGTGACCCTAAGTATTTAAATTGGGTGGCCTTCTTTAGTGCTTGTCCATTAATATGAATTGTTTTTCTAGTTTGAAGGCCACATTC